TAAACTTTTGACTGACTTGCTTTAGGAGTTTGAAGATCTGGATGAAATTATTGCCCGATACATTCAGCCCATAGCAGCAACTGTTCGGGACATCTTAAGTTTTAAGTATTACAGAGATTCTGATGGAGGGAAAAGGGAAATTTTGGACAAGTTGTTAACAGAGGAGAAGAAAAAAGCTGCATTTAAGTAAGTAATAACTAATTTTTAAACAAGTTAGTCTGTGTTTTAGTTTACTTTAGTATATTTCTGGCCCTGTTAGCCACAACTGCAACTGGTATATGTAACAAACCACTTAATTCAAATGGTTAGAACATGACTTAACTTAAGGGACTTGAACAATTAGCAATAGTTTACCTGATATTAGTATTAGATTGCAGAAAAGCAATATTGATAATATATTCTATTTACTTTCAGAATCCCCTACCTTATGAGTGCCTCGCGTCAGTATCCAGGGAAATTCCTTCTTTCTTACATGCCACGTAATGTTGCCAGACACGAGTACGTGACCGTTGCTCCTGAGGGGATCCGTTATAGGCACCAGAATTTCAAATCGGTCAATTCTTTGATCAGATGGTTCAAAGAGCATTTTAGGGATCCAATTCCAGGTTAGTTGTCTGTGTGAAAAGTGCTAAAATTATATCAGGTTTTCTACTAAAAGTTCCTGGTGTGGTTTATCTTTGAGACCCAGTTGATTTACTCAACAGTTTAGCTGTTGTGTTTGAATGTTTATCTCATCATTTGTTGCCATATTTACAGGAACACCTTCCAGTCGCACCCCAGCCCTGTCAGCCTATACAACTCCTGCTGCACATCAGAGTAAGTTGTTAAATGCATTTGTTTGACTATTGATAGGAAGGTGTGGCCTAGCAGTGTAAACTAATGAAATACAATTCTATACTGATCTTGCAGGCAGAATAAGTGGCATTTTGTATCTTGTGCCACGGGTTTATTGCATATGAAAGCTTTTTAGTTTTAAAAATTGTAGTTTCTGCTTAAAAAGAAATTATGTTTTGTAAAAAATTATGTAAAAATCATTTATACTGCCTCAAAAAATCATGCTTTTAAAGTAAACTCTCTGCATGTAATGTAAATCCTTGACTTGATCAAATACTTTCTTATGTTCTTAATGTCTGGCTTATTTGTTTGATGTGGTTAGAATCTAATTAATAACAACGGTTAAATATTTTCTACACCAGCTCCAGGAAGGACACCTGTAGGCCGCACTCCAGTTGGTATGTCTAATGGGATGTATGGTCATCACATGGCAACGCCACATGGAACCACCCCACGTGCTGCTCCAACAGCCACACCACACGGAACTACCCCACGAGCTGCCCCCACAACTACACCACAAAGACCGTATGGAAGCTATGGTTCTTTTCAGGTATTGTAGTTTTTTAAGGTTATACTGTACCTGTAATAAAGAATTTATGTCAACAATAGAATAAGTTTTATTTGAATATTTTTCAGCCTGGTGTTACTCCAGTGATGACCCCTATGTTGACACCATCATCATCTTTTCAACATGGCGGCCACATGACAACTCCTAGGACAGGCCCTCATGTCAACAACACACCTTCATATCAACCAACACCTCGACCAATGGTCGGCCCTGGGGCACCCTGGCCTGGTGCCACACCCAGAACCCCAGCAGCACGTACCCCAAGACATGACAAAAACCAGGCATCATCTGCTGCAGACATGGATTGGGCACGAGCCGCGGAGATGTGGGCCAACCGTAAGAAGACCACCAAATCTCCCAGAGCCTCACCACGACCTTCACCCCGCACAGCTCCTAGTCCAGCTCGCAAAGGTTTTGAGTCTCCATTTGGGGGCAGCAGCTTGGGTGGGGCATCCCCACAGGGTGATGGCACACCCTTAGTAGATGAGAGGTAGCAGGCTTACATCATCACTTTTTATATTGTAAAAATATGTTTGACTAATTTATGTTATAAAATCTAATTAACTTTTGCTTCAAGTGGTAGGGGATATGAAATGCAATTTAAGCATATAATTGCATATTGATGGGGTAAGAAAATATTACAACTTCCATAAACTAATCTTTTGTGATGCGCACAATGTGATTTATTGGATGTTGCTTAGATGCTATTTAAAAAAAATCTCCGATTTAAGAAATGTTTTGATGCATTAAACCAAGAGATTAACATGGGTATAATGTTAGTACTAGCAATAGTAAACATGTAACAAATATAGCTGAATTTGAATTTCTAAATTCCACATTTTTCACCTGTCCAGGTGATTCCCTTCATTATATTTGTGTTGTAATCATGGTTGCTGTTCTCATGTTGTACAGTCATGGTTCTTTGTAAATACGAAAGAAAATAAACTTTTTCATCCTTCACACTTTTCTGTTATTTGTGAACAGTGACAGTTTACATAAAGCAATTAAAACATTTGAGTCATGATTGGAGATTTATTTGATGAAATGTGCACACATTATAAAACAAATCTACACAACTGTTTTCTTATGAAGAATTAATTAGTACGTAAAAATGGCATCACAGACTGCATATCAAGAAAAAATTTGTTAACATAGTTGAAACGGAAAGCTTAACATAGTTTCAACATTTTATACATCAATCTATATGGTTTACCTAGTCATAAAATCCATAGAAAGCACATACAAATGTTATTGGGCTGCATGAAAATCTTTAACTGACAAAAAAAAAGGCTTGAAAAGTTTGAAGCTTGATCAGCTTATTTTATTTTTTAAAGAAGTAATGTAAATTTTTTTGATTGTTGAAAATAAAAGATGCTAGTCTATACGCTGGCCCTACAATCATGTGAAAGCATATCTAGCTAAAAGACTCGAGACTTCATTAGAAATGGTGTAGGTGCACCACAACAATTTTCATTTTAAAAAGAAAAGGTTTCTCTGCACTATGGGAGACAACTCCATTAGTAAAGGAGCAGCTAATGAAAAGCAGGAAATTCTCAGTGACCTTACCAGCTCTATCTCTGTGGAATCATAACAATTATCACATTTAAATGTCTACTATCCCATCATTTAAAGCTAGAGTAGATTCACAAAATTTACAATATTAAAAAGAAAAACAATATTCTATTTATATATACAAAAATATAAAGATATGAAGCATTCTGTTGATGTAAATAGAATATTTAGACATTTGAAAGAACCATGTCAAATTATATTTTTCTACTACTAAAAGAAAGCGAATTCTAACTATACCATTGGACAGTTATTAAAAATCATGTGTATTTTGATGCACTTAAACCAAAATGTATAAATAAATAATAAAATTTAAACCATTGTTTAAGAAAAAATAATTGAGAAAAAAAATGGGGTTAAAAATAATAAGCTATCTAAATATCTATTTCTTACTAGATTAATTTCCTATACCAAAAGAGCCGACGGAACTGGTAAGCTGGAAAATTTCTTGATCTTGATACACATGAAAATCACTAAATGAAAGGATCATCTAATTTTTTCAGAGAAAGATTAAATAGCTAATCTATATTCTTTTATATAATTATAATTGTCTTATGATATTTAAAAAACTTTTAATATCAAAACTCATTCAAGTATTTTTGTATTACTTTATGGGAAAGCTTCAATTAATTTAGATCTATATTTTAAAAATGATTTATGAATATAAAAGCTTTTTTAACTTTTGTACAACAGACTACTGCAAACTGAAAATTTAAAAGGGACAACCAAATTCTTGTTAACTTTTAGCAAAACCTATGGTTATTTAAAGAACAAAAAAAAACTAGGGTTTTCAAAACTCTTCATTAACATTTGAATATTTTTAAATGGTATAAATACATAGAAAACCTGAAAAAATAATGTAAACTCATAAAAAAACCATAAAAAAAAACCAACAGAAGTTTAACAAAGCCAACAATGCCTAGATGGTATAGCACCAACAAAAATCACAATCTTTCCATTGATTTTAGAATTAAAATTTTAATAATTTAAAATGTGTCTTAAAGTGTTTTACACTTGTGTTTGGAACTGAATTAACATAATTAAAGAGGACCATTAACAAAACCAGGTCCAATACACCAATTATGTCATAATTACATGTTTTATGGGTTATGATATAAATACATACACATCATAAATCAGCTGACATAAACATAACATTATGTTATGCTAAAAAAAATAATGAAATAAATAACAGCAAATGAAATGGTTTTTAAGGCTTTATAGTCAGCAAAACATAGTAGAAAACATTAGACAAATAGTATTTTAATAGTATATACTGCTATTGGCACAACTATTCATAAAAATAATCATTTAAAATAAATAAATCATTCCCAATATTTTAATGAACCATTTTCCAAAGTAAACCCTTCTATCATGTTTGCTAACATGATCCCGCAAATAATAAATAAGGATTCTAAAGTAACCCATCTCATAAAGTTATGGTCATTCATAACTGACATGTGCTTTATACAATATAATTGTACTTATACTATGATGTGAAAACTAAATCAGTACAACAGATACAAATTTAACTAAATAGTTGCATTAAACTTATATTATTTAACTTATATTATTTAAATTATATTTTTAACTGCTATCATCTACCATGCTGCTAATTATTCTGATAAATACTTTTAGTTGAATAACAGTTGTCTTAATATTCTTGAAGTTTAAAAAAATATTAATGCTTTGTAAATAAAACAAAAGTCAACTTATTTCACTAAAGCTGCTAGCTCTTCCTACGAATAGATTGCATAATTTAAAAAACCAAAAAAATAACAAAAGTGGCACATGGTAAATGGATTAATTCGATGTAAAAATAAATAAATAAATGGACAAATTAAAACTATAGCAAAAGATACATTTCTTAGGCATCTGTGTTCCTTAACATTTTCTACTACAAATAATTAAATAATTAAAATCTAGTATCAAATCATAAAGGAAACAATTGTAAAGGTATAAAAGTGAAACAAATGAAGCAGCCGAAGGACAAAACAAAAATTCTGGATAGTTACAGAGCAGCAGATATGAGCAAATTTAATTTTTGATTTTATGCATCAATGAACCTGACTATTAGCCACTTCTCATAAACCCCAAGTTTTGAAAACCATCTATACAATCATATTTCCAATGCATTGGAACATCAAGAAATGCTCAAATCAGACAAGTTTAACAATTGCTTCTCCACAATTATACATCTTGTTTCTATTATTAGATCTTTAAATTTATAAAATGGCTACAAAGCTAAGGAATAAATAAAATATCCAAAAAGGTAACTGTCATGTTCTATGAAACATTTTGATTGTCCATGCTTAATAATATAATATATAAAATATAAATGTACATGGTTAAAAAAATGAAAAACATTTTTCACCAGTATTAGCTACATTTGGTGTTGTAGACTGCCGATGGAAATCTATTCTTCTGGAGTTGGAAACTGAAAGTAATAGTAAATGGTACTCTTTTCTTCTAGAAACTGAAAGTAGTAAATGGTAATCTTCTCTTCTAGAGTTAGAAATTGAAAAGCTGTTTTCTTGGTGATGCCAAAGTTAGTGTGCAAACAAGTCTCAATACAAAGGTTAAACTAGCTGTTTTAACTAAAACACCATAAAACACCCAACAAACTGAAGATTCCCTCTCTGGAATAATTATTTATAAATTATTATAACTATTTATAAACCTTTTTTAAAATTTCATTCTGTAATAATTTAATTACAGAAAACAATATTCTTTTAAATATAAATATAAAAACAGAACTAATAACTTGGTTATTTTATATTTACAATTCAATTGACACAATTTTTGTGTCTGTAAGGTAAGGGGTAAAATGTGTCTGACCTATTTAGTCTGTCACATAGAACTCCCCTCCACCCCCATTCACTAAACTGGCAATTATGCAAAACTACAAATAGCTAAGTTTATTGTAATTCTGGATGCCAAGTACCACAAAACATTCACAGCCAGAACTGGTATCACAAAACTTCAGCGAAACAAAACGGCTAAATAGTCTTCAGTATTTGTCAAACATTTGTATCCATGTATGTTAACTCTTACACTGCTGTACAACAGACTACTGGCACAATGAGAGGGAAACAGAATTTGAAATTATTTTCTTTCATTGCCAGAAAAATATACAAGTAAATATCTTTCAAAAAAATACAACTACATTTCCCAGGATCCAGTTTGATGAAACAAAACAATTATTTCCATAAACATCCGCGCTTGCTATGTCAAGTCATGCTGGGATACTGAGCCATTAGCTCAGGCACATTTGGATACTATTGAGCAGACGTCACATGATAGAGATGAGAGATGATCAAACTAATTCACTGAGAAAATAATGGATTGTGGGAAAAGAAATAAGATTGCACAGACCCATAAATACTGACTGTCAAGGATGATAACTCTGTCCTCAGCACAAACATACTGCAACACTTGCTCCCATTGGTTGAGAAATATTGTGGCCATGACCATCATTGACTGGAATGTTGTAGGGACAAACTGTTTTCTTTTTAAGAACCCATTTAAGGCCATGATTACAATGGAATATCCAGGCGAATTAGTTTTTTTTAAGTACATTTTTCGGAATTCACAAAAAAATTTATTACTCTGTTGATTTTTCTTCCTTGAAATTCTTCAAATTATCAAGCCACATTCTCAAGCAGAAAACAATTTGCAAGAGAAAAACTTTTAACATAAAAAAATCAAATTTTCTTCAAAATTTGAAAGTAATAAATCTATTTTGTGAGTTGAAAACAAAGCACTTTATACTTGAAAATAAATTATGTTAAAAATGTGGGCCTTTGAAACAGAGATACAGCGTGACTTAAAGAATGCTTTGATAAATACACTGGTTACACAAAGTTTTACTGTAGTATACACATTTTCTTGAAATCCGATTCAAACTCGTCATCAATTTCTGAAGTATCCGGCTCTCGTCCAGTTGTATCTGGCATAAAAGGACTAAAATCCACATTCTCTCGCTGGTAAAATAAAATGTAGGCAGAATTTTTGTCCAGCTGATGTTCAGGGACTTCCTGTCAACAATACAAATTTATTTTTAATTGTTTCATGAGTTTTGCATTTTAAAATGTATTTTAATTGTTTCATGATTTTTGCATTCTATTTTTTAATCAGCATACTATTTTTCTAGTTCAGTTTGTAGTCAGAATTGTGATCAAGTTGTCTACTAACATTTAAGAATGAGACCTGTGACATAAAAAAAAAACCCATGTTATTTACCTTACAACTGCTATCATTATAACAAAACCAGCGATCCTTTTCATTTTTTGCATAAGCAACGTAGTGCCCCCCTCCAAGTATACCTGTGTGACACTGCAACAGATTTTTAAACTCGTTAACACAGTATAGAGTGACTCAATAGTACACTA